TCCTGTAGAATGATTTATTTTTCCTCTCCCAACTTTTTATTGTATTATCTAAAAATAGAAATTTTAAAGTAAATGGATAATAAATTATTTCAAGGCTTTAGGCATACAAAATTTTGATGTTTGCATATATTAAGGGATTTTAAAAGCTAAAGAAAGTGGATCATTGATGCAGCCCAAAAACAGGTATTTCATTCAGGTACCATTTACTGACTCCTTTTTAGCCATGTGCCATTCAAGTTACTTACAGGAATGCTAGTGACTAAGACAGAAACTCTGCACAATAAAAATTTATGAAACAACAGAAAATAATTATTGAGGGATAAAGAATTTAACTTTATGCCTAATATGGCAGAATACTAATTCTCTATCAAAAGTTTAACAAGGGCCTCCCCTAGTGGTGCAGCAGTTGAGCGCTGGGCTGCAAAGCTGTCCTCAGCCTCTGTAGTGCCGGTGTGATCCCCGGCCACCGGAGAGGGTCCCACATGGCGCAACAGACCTCTCCTGCCAAGCCCGCTGCTACCCTCAGCAGTATATTTTGTCAGTCTGCCTGTTCTGCTCCCAGCTCTGGCTCTGGTGAATTCTCTCACCGTCCCACGCTTCTGACTGTACCCAGTGCTTGTATAAATAAATAAATCTTTAAAAAAAAAAAGTTTAATAAAAACTCAAGTATATCTGGGTCCTATTCAAATTATTTAAAATGCTGTATTGACTTTCAGTTAAATATAAGCTTTTTAAATAATATGCAACAGAAACATTCTGATAACAGTTTGAATTTATAGCTGTTCTTACTGGTAAACCTACATGTTGGAGTCACAGCATTATAAACAAAAAGATATTACTGTTCTTCAAAAGAATTTAGAAAATTCCTTTGAATTTCTGTACTTTTTAATAGCTTAAGTAAACTAATCTGCTTCAGATATAAATAGCTCCTAGAAATTGAGATGTCAACATTCCAAGAAAACGAATAAATATACAAACAGTTCACAAAAAGGAAATAAAAATCACCCTTACACATAAACATATTTAATCTTGCTCATAAGAAAAATACAAATTAGAACTTCAATTAAAAAATATCAAAGAAATACGGAGATGTTTTTGAGGTACAGATTTGAATAAACCATGTATAAAAAGACATTTCAGATAATTGGGGAAATTTGAACATGATTATCTAGTTATGTATTTGATAATATTAAGGAATTGGTTTTGCTAGTATGATAATGGCTTTTTTTGTGTGAAAACTACTAATTGATACACACTGAAATATAGATAAAATTACATGAGAGGCTTCTAAGGAACCGAGTGGTAGTAAGCAAAAGTACATGAAATGTAGGTAAAATAATGTATCATGTACTGATAACATTTGATGGGTATATTTTTGTACTTGTGTATTTCACCAAATTAAAAAAGTCTTAAAACTTTAAATTAGAAAACAATATAGACTACTATAAACATAAAAGATAATAAAAGTGGTTACATGTCTGTGTGCATAGAGGGGAATAGGGATAACTTTTCACTGCTTGTATTTTGACATTTTTAGAAAAAAAGCTTGTTATCATAAAATCAATGGGTGAAACAATAACACCATTGATACCTAGATTTCTAAATAAACTCTATGATACCCTGATTGCATCAGCAATCCTCTACTTTGAAAGAGGGTTTTAGTGGAAACAAGGATCCACAGGTATAACAGAGTAATAAAGATGTAGATGAAGAGGCAGAAGTAAACACCAATCTTTCATAACAAAAAACTTAAAGTTTCCAATGTTTATCTCAGCTAGGAATTCAAAAACTAGTATTAAGAAGTAGAATATTTCTGCCAAGTTGTAGGACACCAAACCAACACACAAAAACTAGTTGTATTTTATAAACATCTTGAAAAGGATACAAAGAAAACAATTTAACTTATAGTACCATCAAAGTGAATAAAATAATTAAGAATAAGCTTAGGGCCTCCCTGGTGGCACAAAGGTTAAAGATACAGTGCTACAAAGCGATTGCCAGACACTGCAGAATGAGTTTGATTCCCTGCCAGTGAGCTAACCCACATGGTGCAGCAGACCTCTCAGTTTTGCCCACTGCTCCCCTCAGCAGTGTTATTTCAGTAGATCCGTCTGTTCTGCTCCCCACTCTGTCTCTGGTGAATCCTCTCACCCACCCACCTCTGGCCTACACCCTAGTTCTTGCATGCAGTTTTTTTTTTTTTTTAAAAACTGTTGCAATAGAAAATATATTATACATATTAGGGTATATGTTTATCATTTTGAAAAGAAAAAAATAAGGAATATAACCTTTCCGCTGTGAAAAACATTAACACAATGAAAGGTCAAGCTATAGACTAGAAGAAAAGACTTGCAAATCAAATAGTTATTAAAAGACTTGTATCCAGAGTATAAAAAGAACTCTCAAAACTTAGTAGTGAGGGGGAAAATTCAACATTTAAAAACAGAAGATTTGAACAGACATAGACACCTCACCTGAGAAGACAGAATGACAAATCATCACATAAAACATACCTAACATCATTTACCATTAGGGAAATGCAAATTCAAACTAGGACACTGTAGTACTACACTCCCATTAGAATTGCTAAAATTAGGGCCTCCCTGGTGGCCTAGGGGTTAAGTCTCAGTGCTATCACCACTAAGGCCTGAGTTCAAATCCACAGCCAGGGAACTAACCCACATATGGCAGAGCAGAAGACCTCTCCGATCTCACCCGCTGCTCCCCTTGGGAGTATATTTCAGTAACTCCGCCTGTTGTACTCCATACTCTGTCTCTGGTGAATCCTCTCACTGCCCTGTACCTCTAGCCTACAATCCAGTTCTTCTATGCAAAACAAATAACCCCCCCCCCCACAATGAGATACCATTGCACATCCATTAGAATGGCTACAAAAAACAAAAAAACAAAAAAACAAAAAAAAATCAGGGACTCCTGGTGGCCCAAGGGGTTAAGCAAAGCACTGGGAAGCCATCCACATCCTCTGTAGCACAAGTCCAATCCCTGGCTGGCCAGGGAGCTACCCTCATGGCGCAGCAGACCTCTCCTGACTCACCAGCTGCTCCCCTCAGCAGTGAATTTCAGTCTGCCTGTTCTGTTCACCACTCTGTCTCTGGTGAATCCACTCACCCCCCACACCTCTGGCCTGCATCCCAGCTCTTGTATGCATAAAGAAATCTTTAAAAAAATAAACTCCCATCACCTACCCCATTCCATCTTAGAGCTATACCAAGCGTCTGTATTTCCTTGAATAAAATGTGCTCCACACTTCAATTATAAAGCCTGATCTGACAGCAAGCCTCCTCCCTCCTACACACACTCATTCCCTCATATTTGGTTCGTTCTTTATGTATAAATTCCCTCAAAACTAGGACTGTATGATTCATTCTTATTCATAAAGCCTGGCACATTTAAGTGTCCCCCAAAATATTTCTTAAACAAGTGTTTTCAAGTACATTGGGGCTTGCAAGAAACTTCTCAGGTTCATATACACAACACATTAATGAATAATCAGTCCATTTTCATGAAGTTTCACCAGAAACTAACTTATCATAGAGAAGTTCCAATACAACACACATACTATACTTGAGATTCAGGTGGATCATATTTTAAATGCATGTCAGTATAATGTTACAGCTACAAAGGACTGTAACAGTAACAGTAACCCTACGGTTGTTACTAGGTAATCAACACATTAAAAAAAAAAAATGAGGGGTCACCCTGGTGCGCAGGGTTTAAAGACACAATGCTATCAAGCTATCGCCAGTCACTACAACATGAGTTTGATCCCAGGCCAGGGAGCTAACCCACATAGCACTGGAGACCTCTCCTGTCTCATCTGCTACTCCCCTCAACAGTATATTCCAGTAGATCCACCTGTTCTGCTCCCCACTCTGTCTCTGGTGAGTCCTCTCACTCCTCCACACCTCTGGCCTACATCCCAGTTCTTGTATGCATTAATAAATAAACCTTAAAAAGACAAAACAACAAATGATATAGCAAGGATTTCCTACCTTCCTACACATGGGAAAAATGTATTATGTTAAAAATCACAGAATTAAATATATTAAAACTTAATATCAAACTTTGAGCTTAGTTTTAATACATGATTCCTTTATATGTAGTACATCTTAACATCTTCATAAATATGTATACTCTCATCCCAGGCACAACTGCTCAATTTCCTGTAAAACTGTATTTCATATAAATCTTTAAGCTCCTATTTTGTTATACTATAATTATCTGTGTACATGTTTTTTTTTAAACATTTATTTATGTATGCATACAAGAACTGGAGTACAGGCCATAGGTGTGGGGGGTGAGATGATTTACCAGAGACAGAGTGGAGAACAGAATAGGTGGACTGACAGAAATACAATGCTGAGGGAAGCAGTGGGTGAGTCAGGAGAGGTCTGCGGTGCCATGTCAGTAGCTTCCTGGCTGGGTGTCGAACTGTGCTGCAGTGGCTGTGGATAGCTTCACAGGTTGCGTCTTAATCCCTTGTGCCAGCAGGGAGGTCCTGTGTACATGATTCTATGTCTAGTAGATTGCAAGCTCTTTGAGGGCAGACTGCCATTCATTTTTGTCTCTCAGTTCTTGGGCACAAATAGAATCATGAGTATTAGTAGAATGACTTATGCAGTACTTAATGTGTCTATAAATAATCCTGTGAATAACTTGCAGCAGAAAATTAAATTTGGAGATGATGTAACTTAGCTGAGATCAAGTAAATAATGAAACAGACTCAAATTCAGGTCTTCAGTGAACAATCTCTATGTCCCTTCTACCACATCATACGTATTACACGTGTAGTTAACTATTATTACAAGTTGTGCAAGAACTACATCCTGTAGTTGTCATTTATTGTGAAAAAACAACCACCACAAAAGTGAATCATAAAAAATTATAGTAAACATTAAAATGAGAATTCTGAACTATCATAGGAAGTTATTTATTATACTTACAGTCCTAACAGAACACTATTGTATTTAAGATTTTACCTTGTACTTCTTTATCATGATATTCCTTTAGTTTTGTCCAAAGCTCCTTAAAATCATTAGATATATCTGCAGAAGTAGGGCTTCCACAACTGCTTCCGGAGATGTTCATCTTGCTAAATATGCTTCACACTTCTTTTTGCCTTGTGTTTTCTAAGCTTTTTCTGTTACATTATATAGGTATGAAGTTGTCTTTGGATACTTGAAATACCTGAAATGACAGATTGTTAACATTAGTTAATTTCATTTGTCTTTATGTAATTTGAAATCAGGGTGATGTTAAGCTAAGCAAACTATTCTCATGTTTTCCTTATTTACCAACAATTACTTTGAGAACCTGGGTGATGGGAAGTGAAAAAGAAGTAATTATGGTGAGAAAAGCTCTGATTTCAGTTGTTTACCCTTCAGTTATCCTAAATTTCAAGCAAAATTTCTTATGCCTGCTAGAAAGAAGTAATTAGTTAAACTGATAATTCTGCTACTGAGGTCTATAATCATTCATGGTCAGTACTGATTTACCATTACAAAAAAATATATTGCTCTTTAACTTTGAATTGATATGAAATGCAACAACATAAGAGCAACTTCTCTAAAAAAGACATTCAGATAGCTTATAGACACAAGGAAAAATGTTCAACAGCACTTTAGGGAAATGCAAATCAAAACCACAATGAGATATTACCTCCTTTCAGGGAAGAATGGCCTATTATCAAAAAGAATGGAAACTAGAAGTGCTCACAAAGATGTGGAGAAAAAGGAATACTTATATATTGTTAGCGGGAATGTTAATTTAGTGCAGCCTCTTTAGAAAATGGTATGGAGATTTCCTTTTTTTTTAAGATTTATTTATTTATGCATACAAGAACTGGGGTAAAGGCCAGAGGTGTGGGGGTGGGGGGGTCGGTGAGAGGATTCACCAGAGACAGAGTGGGGAACAGAACAGGGGGACTGACTGAAATACACTGCTAAGGGGAGCAGCAGGAGAGATAGGAGAGGTCTGCTGCGCCATGTGGGTCACCTCCCTGGCCGGGGATCAAACGCATGCTTGCAGTGGCTGCGGATAGCTTCATAGTGCTGCAACTTAACCCCCTGAGCCACCAGGGTTGCCCCCAGTATGGAGATTTCTTAACAAAATAAAAATGGAAATACCATAGAACCCAGCAATACCACTCCTGTGTATTTATCCCAAGAATATGAATACTGTAATATATGCAGTCCTATGTTCACAGCAGCATTATTCCCAATAGCTAAGTGGTGGGACCAACTTAAATGCTGAACAGTTGACTGTATGAAAGAAATTATGGGTACACTCAATGGGATACTACTCCGTTATTAAGAAAGATGACATCGGGCCTCCCCTCGTGGCGCAGGCGGTTGAGGGCAGCACTGTGAAGCTGTCTGCAGTCTCTGCAGCGCCGGGTTCCCAGCCGGCCGGTGAGGGTCCCACATGGCGCGGCACAGACCTCTCCTGTCTTGCCAGCTGCTCCCCTCAGCAGTGTATTTTGTCAGTCTGCCTGTTCTGTTCCCTGCTCTGTTTCTGGTGAATCCTCTCACCTTCCCACGCATCTGGCCCATACCCTGGTTCTTGTATAATAAATAAATAAATCTTAAAAAAAAAAAAAAAAAGGAAAGATGACATCTTGCCTTTTGGGACAACACGGATAAAATTTGAGGGGATTAGCACAGTAATAAAAGTGAGAAAGTGAAAGGCAGTTACAGGGTGGTTTCACTTATTTGTAGAATATAACCAAAACAAAACACACTGGCAAACCAAGACAAAAATAACAGACTTTAAAAAATATGGTGGTTACCACGGTAAAGGGAAAGAGGAGTGGATGAATAAGTACAAAGGGTAAATTTAATATTTTAAAGGCCCTAGAACTCTGATGGTGGGTGAGTGAAGCATACACACATACAGAGGTGTGAAGTTGTATTTCCCACATTAGACAGTTTTATAAATGAAGGGCAAATCAACAAAATTCATTAAAAAGCATTCACATTTAGGACCTCCCCTGGTGGTGCAGGCGGTTGAGCGCAGCGCTGTGAAGCTGTCCACAGCCTCTGCAGCACCAGTTCAATCCTGGCCAGTCCGCGAGGGTCCCACATGGCGGGGCAGACCTCTCCTGTCTCACCTGCTGCTCCCCTCAGCAGTGTATTTCGTCAGTCTGCCTGTTCTGTTCCCTGCTCTGTTTCTGGAGAATTCTCTCACCCTCCCGCACATCTGGTCTATACCCTGGTTCTTGTATAAAATAAATATATAAATCTTAAAAAAAAAAAAAGCATTCACATTTATACACACACACACACATTCAGCAACACATCATAAAATGGGAAAAGAAATTATGTGATTAACACAAGGGGATCGTAAGAGATTTCTCATCAATCAGTAAGCAAGGGACTCCCTGCTGGCACAGGAGTTGAGGTCTCAGCACTATCATGCTACCATTAGCCACTGCAACATGAGTTCGATCCCAAGCCAGGGAGCTGACGCACATAGAGCAGCAGACCTCTTCTGTCTCACCTACTGTTCCCCTCAGCAGCTTATTTCAGTAGATAGCCCTGTTCCCTACTCTGTCTCTGGTGAATCCGATCTCCCTCCCCCAACCTCCCCACACCTCTGGCCTGCAGCCCAGTTCTTGTATTCATAAATAAAAATAAAATCTTAAAAAATAAAGAGAGCAAGATTACATATAAAAGCCACTTAGTGAACTGTAAAGCACTACAGAAATAAAAATATACTTTTATTACACTTTTCAAAAATTGTAGTTAGACTTTTTGAAACAATCCATTAAAACCAAACATACACAGAATTTTAGATATTAGGGGAATGTTGTTAATTTTTTCGGGTATAAGAATGTGATCATGTAAAAAAAAAAGCCCTATCTGTTAAAGAGACATGTACGGAGGCATTTACAGGTAACACTGTTAGGGGGAAAAGGATGTCCTAAAGCACGCATGGTTGAGGACCCACAGCCAGGCAACCTGTTTTATATCGGGGCTGCTCCGTAACAACACTACAGTATGTTATCACCTGGATTTCCTTTAAAATACTCAAGCTAAACAACAATTGAAAAAATGGATACTGGGTTGAAGATAAAATAAGAAGGGATGAATCTTGATAATTACTGAAGCTGGGTAAGAGATACATTCATAATTCTAAGGTTTCGCTCTTGTTCATTTATTATTTCCATAAAGAAGTTTTAAAAATGAAATTGGTTTAACTTCCCCCAGAGGTTTGCTTGTATTCTGCTATTTCTAGATCCCAAAAGATGAATCAGTGAGCCTATACAATTGACAGTAAGTCATCAGTAATTAAGTGCTAACTGTATGACATAAACTGTGCTGTTTTATATTCACTTTTTACTTAATCTTCAGAATTCTATAAAATAGTTATTATATTAATTTCACTCTTGGGGAAAGAGGTTTAAGAGACTAAATGACTGGTCCAAGGTCACACAGCAGTGGTCAGGAATGGTGATGCCAATTAGCTGTACAACACTTCTATGTAGACAAAAAATAAAGTTTAAAACAAACTTGTAATTACTTTACTAAACAGTTATAAATTCCATCAGTATTAACAGTCCAATGTTTCCACACACACACACAAAAACAATTCATTAATAATAAACTTTAAAGTTCTGGCTCACAAAACTCCTTCCAACCTACTTGGCAAATCCAGCACTTTTTGTTGGCATCTCTCTCTTGACCTTGAACCGTTAGTCGCTGCACGACGGTAAGCCCTAATTTTCCAAAAATGTGCATCCTGCCTCTCAAGTTACGTTCTGGGCTCAAAAGTCTGTGATAAGTTACTACACTTGCATGCCTTCTGTACCAGTATAAACTGCAACAAAATATAAAGCCACTCAACAAAATCTTTCTTTCCTATCCCATACATCATGACAAGAAACATGCCTGGAGCTACCTAACGAACTGACCATGAACCTGCAACGGTGTTCTAACGAGTAAAGCTGGGCTCCAGGCCCTCCCACCCCAGACCTCTGGCCATCAGCCTCCCTGCGCGGGCTGCCCGCAGCAACCCCGCAAAGACAGCGCAGCGGGCGCGGAAAAAGCGCGCCCCGCCTCTCCCGGCGCCGGACCCGAGAGGGCGCATGCGCGGAGCAGGCCCGCCAGTCCCGACCTCGCGCGGGAGACCCGAGATCCCCGCCCCGAGCGCGAACGCGCCTCCCCTCCCGCCCGCCGCGCCCCGGCTCCTGCCTCAGACTCCCCTCGCCCGCCGAGCGGCGGCAGCCTCCCGGGGCCGCGCGCCTGGGGTCAGGGCAGCTCCAGGCAGGAAGTGGCCACCACGACCCAGCGCTCCAGGGGGGGGAAGGAGACCGCCCTTACTCACGGCGTCCAGGGGTGCCTCCCGAAGCCCGCGACGGGGGCGGCGCCTTCTGCGGCGGCGAGGAGAGGCCCGCGCGCGCGCTCGTCCTTCCCTCACCCGAACGCCAGCACCCCGGGCGGGAAAGCCGGGCCCTCGGGGCAGCCCGCGCCTTCCGGGGGCGGGGGACGGCCTGAGGCCGGCCGCCGGACTTGGAGGCGAACGGGCCCGCCCCTCCCGCAGCCCGCGCGACGTCACGCGGGAGTTCCCGCGACGTCAGGCCCCTGCCCCCGACGTCAGGCCCCTGCCCCGACGTCAGGCCCCTGCCCCCGACGCGGAGGGGGCGGCGCCCCTCACGCCCCTGCCCAGGGTCGGGGCCGGCCGCGGTGTCTGCGTCCGGGGGGAAGAGTGGGGCGCCGCCGCTGTGTGCGCGGGAACTGCTCCAGGAGCTGGCGACCGCCACATCTCACTTTTTGTTTTTTTAAGAACATATACCTTTATTTTGCATTTTCATCTTGGTTTTATTCCCCATACAATTCCCACTCCCCCTTATTTTGACCCTAATCCCTCCTCCACACCCCACACCCCCCAGTGTGTCTCTGGTTTATAGTTGCTTGTTGATTTTGATTTTTACTTTATTATAATTAGTCTTTTTCCTGGTCTCTTATTTAGGTTTTCTAAATTCCTGCTATGAGTGAGACCCCATCTCACTTTTTGGATATGCCCTGGAGGAAAGTCGTGCCGTCCCATCTAGAAAACTTACACAAGTCTTGGTGTTACAGCAAACTAGTCGGGAAAGTATGTGTGAGTGACCTGCACCAAAGGGAAAGTTAGAATTAAGGAAGGAGGGAATGAATACAAATCAGTGTAGGCCAGTTTTTGTCTCCCTACAGTTTAGTGACATGACCTGATAGGATCAATATAAAGGCCATGCAGCAAGACATGTATATTTTGCTGAAATTAAATGAAAATTGTCTGGGAACCTGAAATGAGAAATGGGACAACATACTGCTAGAGAATTTATTGTTGTTCACCTTTTCCTACGACTTTATAAAATTAAAATTGATAGCATGTTTTCCTATTTTTCTTAGTTTTCAAAAGGAGCATTTTAGGCCATTAGAAATTCTGCAAATGCAGGGCCTCCCTGGTGGCGCAGGGATTAAAGATAGCGTTATCAAGGTGCAGTAGACCTTCCTTGTTCTGTTCCCCACTCTGTCTCTGGTGAATCCTCTCACCCCCCCCAACTCTGGCCTGTACCCCAGTTCTTGTATGCATAAATAAATCTTCAAAAAAAAGTTAAAAAAATTGAGTCTGAGGGAAAAAAAGCAAACATTGGTTAAAAATGAACAATGAAGTAAAATATATATAAGTAAATAATTTTTTTTTTAAAAAGAAACTGACCAGGTTGGCAGCCTGATTTTGGAATTTCAGCTTCTAGAACTACAAGAAATAAACTTCTGTTGTTTAAACCATCCCTCCCCGCCCCCCCTCCAAAAAAAAAAAAAGAAATTATCGGTACACAATGACCTAACCTGTTCCTATGACCTTTGCCAGTTTGGACTATCCTATCCATTTATGCAAAAAGAATCCAAAGCATCATCTTTCACACCTTTCTTAACCCTCATATCCAATTTGTCACCAAGCTCCATCATTTTTACTTAGCAAGTATCTCCCCCAATCCATCCCCTTTTCTCCACCATGTTTCAGAGTGTTATCTCTTATCTAGTCTGCTGCTAGTCTAATTCCCATGTCCAGCCAACCAACAAACCCACCTAAACCTTTTTCTTCACTGGTATTCAGAAAATTATTTTTGAGCATCTATTCTCAGTTCATGTATATATTTCATTTTACGTTGAATACATTTATTGCTAGAGGATGGTATGTAATGTAATGACTAAGTCACAAACTCAAGAATCAGACCTATGCTTGATTCCTGCTCTTTGTATGTTTTTACTGAGTAAACTTGGACTAGTTTTTTAATGCCTGGATCTCATTTTTCTTACCTGTAAAATGCAGGTAGTAATAGTACCAACCTTACAGTGTTCTAATAAGTGAATGGTAAGTGTTCTAATAAGTGTTCTAATAGGTGGAGTGTTTGGATACACAATATGTGCTCAATAAAAGCTAGACCTTATCAGTACTTCCGATTTAATAGGCTGACACATTTATAAAGGCTTTTTTTAAAAGGATGAGAAAAAAATAGAATAGAAATCTAGTATCTTCCCCTATGTTAAACTGTGCCCACTTTGAGACTAGTTCTCTACAGCATAGCTATGGTGATTTTTATGAAAAATTGATAATGGAACTATTCAGCTTAAACCCACTCAGTGACTTACTGTTACTCCTTGAAGAAAGCCCCATTTAAACTGCCTCTACTGCCTCTCCAGCTTCATTTCCAAACATTTTATTCCAACCATGGTCTCTGGCTTCACTGCCTTTTAGTGTCTCCTAGACCTTTACATATTAAACTTACCCTACCCTTTGCCCTGCTATTTATTAAGTATCTTTTTATCTTGTTTTAATAGCCTCTTCTATTAGAGCCTGGTATAGCACTATGTACCACCCATCTCACACTTCTACAGTTTTAATTATCTTTCCCTAGTAGGCTAACTTTCTTGATGGCAAAATCATGTTTTGTTTACCTTTTTATCTCCGTAAACTACATGAGTGTATGTCGCAGAATCAGTATACTGTGGATAAATGAATGAATTGGGCATTCCTTGAGGGATTTCTCTTTTTAATTTAAGGGGAGCTTTTTAATACATTCAAAAAATCTTAAAATTTTTTTAATAAAGATTTATATTTATTTTATGCAAACAAGAGCTGGGGCAGGCCAGAGGTGTGTGTGTGGGGGCGGGAGGGGTTGGGGGTGGTGAGAGGATTCACCAGAGACAGAGTGGGGAGCAGAACAGGCAGATCTACTTCAATACACTGCTAAGGGGAGCAGTGGGTGAGATGGAAGAGGTCTGCTGCGCCATGTGGATTTGCTCCCTGGCCAGGGATTGAACTCATGCTGCAGTGGCTGGTGATAGCTTGATAGCGCTGACTTTAACCCCTGTGCCACCAGGGAGGCCCTTAAAATTTTCTTTTTTGATGTTTTTGATGTTCACTTTCACAGTGGATATGTTGGACATGTGCATAGATATTTGCCCCCAGCAAGGGCTTTGAGACCCACATGGTAGAAAATTATGAAATTCCAAAGAGCTATGAAAAATATTTTTAATAGAAGTGGCTATTTTGAACTCTTTGTAATACTGTTGTTTCTCATATTTTATGCTTTAGAATAATGCCTCCCAAACATTTTCAATTTGGGACTACTTAGAGAATCAATACTTGAAATACATATTACAAGAAAGGATGAGATTACTTCCAGTCAGAGAGATCCAAAGTTGAGACTCCAGCTACCCCAGGGCCAGCACTGCCACCTTGAGGGCTGGGATTTTGATGGCCTAGCATACTTATACCCCATTGGAGGTCCTTGATTAGGATGCTGTGTGTTGAAATAGTGAAAGTGGTAAATCTAATACCATATATATTTAACTACAGTAAGAAAGTTGTGTGGTAGCAGTAAAATCTCTTGGTATGATCTTCCTAAATTCCTCTTTCCCTTTGTCAACCCTTAGGCAATAAGTTTTATAGGTAAAAATACAACCCGAATCCATTTGCTTCTCACCACCTCTTTTGCATCCATCCTGGTTGAAGCCATCATTATCTCAAGCCATTTTGGCAGCAAAACCATTTTGTTTTTTTAAGAACTATCCTTGTACTTCCACTGTTTTCCCCTGTGTTATTGAAATCCAACAGTAATCGGAGTGGTCCTTTAAAATCTAAGACCTCTGAATCATATACAGTGCTGAAAACAGTATTACCTCAATTAAAAAAAAAATCTGGGCCTCCCTGGTGGCACAGAGGTTAAGTCTCAGCACGATGAAACTAACCACAGCCACTGTAGTACCAGTTCGATCCCCCTGTCTTGCCAACTGCTCCCCTCAGCAGTGTATTTCAGTAGTGTATTTCTTCCTGTTCTGCTCCCCACTCTGTCTCTGGTGAATTCTCTACCCCCCAGCAGCTCTGACCTGCACCCCAGTTCTTATATGCATAAATAAATAAAATCTTATATAAAAAAAATTCTGACACTCCCCTGTTCAAAACCTTCCAGGGTCTTCCTATCACCTTGGAATAATATCCAAACCCCTGTTGATGGATTCAGAGCAAATCAATCACTATATTTTACTGATATTACCTCCGAAAATAGTTTTAAATTAATGCTTTTCTTTCTAAACACAATTTTACTACTTTAGTTTAGCCCCTAATATTTTTTCTCTAGACTATAGCCTCTTTGCTTGCAGTCCTGCTCCCCTTAATCCAGTCTCCACACAGCTGCTAGAGAGCTCAACCATTATCACCAATCCTGGGCACTCCCTTGCCTAAAACCTTTCAGTGGCTCTCCATTTCCTGAAGTTTAAAATGTCGCAGAGCCCCTTTTTAGCCTTGCACACTCTATACCCCACCTTACCCTTTCCCTTCTTTTTTTTTTTTTTAAAAAAAAGATTTATTTATGCATCCAAGAACTGGGGTATATAGGCCAGGGGGTGGAGGGTGAGAATATTCACCAGAGACAGAGTGGGGAGCAGAACAGGCGGATGGACTGAAATACACTGCTGAGGGGAGCAGTGGCTGAGACAGGAAGGTCTACTGTGCCATGT